GCTTTTCGCGGAACAATGGACTGACTATTCTGTGGTCATTTTCGGTGAAAGACAAGAATAAAAGTACTCGCCATTAAGCTTCCCTAAGAGTTTTGTAGGAAGATCTTCAATCTTTTCTCTCAGTAGTCTCTGACCATCGGGACTCAAGTCTCCCTCAGCAGGAATAACATCGGATAATCATCCACGTATATAACATTACATTCACATAGGCTGTGGAAAAATCTTTGCTCTGTCCTGTCATAAGAACAACCTACATTCACCAGCGGGCAGGGAAGGAATATGCAGCTTGTTGTTCGATGCTTCATATGTCTTAAGTGGAACCATGAAATGTGGAATGCTTTTGTTTGCGTAACTGAAAACGCTATGGTACAGCTATTAAGTCTATGCGTTTGCAGCGGCATGAGTCCTTCTAGGTTATTTATTACAGCTTTACAATGGTATTTTATATGGTAAATAATACCTGTAATATTGGTAGCAAATGGTCTTTGAATGCTTAGAAGATGCTTTAATTTTTATTTTGTATTGATGTAGTCCAAATTGCCGCTGCATAAGTCACGGTTTTTTTTTCGGCAGATAATCGGGTACAGGATTTTCTGTATTTGTGGATTCAAGCCCCATTTGGCACATTGGAATTATCAAACTTTACACTCAATTCTTAGCACTATTATGTGCGGTATCTAAGTAAGACCGAGAAGTCTGAGGTACTTGTGAGTTTGTCATTTTAATTGTACGTCCCTTCACTTCTAATATGGGCTTACTTGTGAGCTCCGTGACACTTTTAGGGACTATGAATGCAGTGTATTTTGTTTCGGAGAAGTGAAGCTTTATATGGCTGCAGCGATCACAGAAAAGTTCACCGTTGTTTCGTTGCATAAAAATTGAATGAAAGAGGATTTATAGGTTACTCTGAACCTTCTTTATTTATATTAGTTGGCAGCCAACCAGTTCATATATTTTAGCCATGTTTAGTTTTCAAAGACCCTCATTTTCCAAAGAAATCTTCCAGATTTTTTTAGGATTTAAAGGAATTGTTTGAAAAGAAATTTCTATGTTATTTTCTTGGCTGTATGCTAATCTCCTTATTCTATATTAGTTTTAAAATTTTTACCTTGAAATCTTGCTTAAAATCAAACAGCGAACATTAGGTGTGCCCAGAGTGGGTTCACTATGAGAGTAGGCAAAGACCAAAACCTATATCTTTGTTTCTCTGCAGCTCATTTACAACATAAGGGTGGGGCCACATCTGTGTTTTATTTGGAAATACTGCATCCAGCATTACATTAAGGGTGTATTCTATGTTATGTGATTTATATGCTTCCGGTGTGGGTATAAAAATCTTTCCAGCTTTGGTAATTAGCTCTTACAAGCATATGTTTATAAAGAGCACTTTCTTTAGTGCTCAAGTTGACGGAACGCTCAAATCTCAGTCACGCATTTTGGTTTCCGTTATTATGACTTTGCATTTATATTACTACCAGACTATGGTAGTCAGTTTTTAAAACTTTATTCGAGAGAATGTTTCCGCATATATTGTGTATTTTAACAGAAGTTACGGATGCATCCAGTGCTTCCATTGTACTTTGTTGTTTTAGGCATATATTTTCACTTTCGAAGAAGTACGTCTGTTTAGGAGATAAATCAGAAATTTTTTACTTTTTGAGAAGTTCAAGGTATTTAATTATGGCTGTGGTGCTCTCAAGTGCAGTGTTGCCAGATCGCGCGATTTTTCGCAAATTTGCGACTTCTGACAAATTTGTGCTTCTAAAATTTTAGTATTTGCGATTTTACGACATCCGTCATTTTCTCGTGCTACTTTTTGCGACTTCAAAAATTTTTTTAATATATCATAAAATGCTTTTATGTTAAAATAATGTATCAATTAAAAATAATTTATATTAAAAGGAAAAAACAGGTTATTTAAGCTTAAATAGAAGTTGACATCTGGCAATCTGATTTACATGTGGCTTTCCTTTACAAGGCTGCGCAGCCTGACGCCGGTATAATGAGAAAGATGCAAGGGAAGTGAAAAATGTAGAAATTTAAAAAAAAAAAAAAAAAAAAAAAAAAAAAAAAAAAAAAAATGCTTCTGGACTCTTGTCTCCCTCCCTCGTCTACCACGCGCGTATTTTAAGTCACTTCACCCCCGCCCCCCCCCCACACACACACTTCTATGGTGATAACGAATCAAGCCAAAGGACTTTCAGTTTGCGCGCTGCATATTGGGTACCCAAACAGAAAAGGAAATAAAATTAATACTCCTGATTATAATATTGCTAAGAACTAAGAAACGGAAATGACTTATAAATCAAAGAAACAGCATTTTTTCTAAATAACAACACAAATAGCGCTAACGGTCTAAACGTGAGGAATCTCTTAAGAATGGATATCCGCAAATTAATTTTAAAATAGAAACCTAAATTAAATGAGAATTAAAATTTTTTTGGTGTATTTAATTATGGCAAAGCACACTAGGGCTATCTGCCTAAGAGGAGGGATGCCTTCGTGGAGGACTTTCTACGGGAAACTGGCTCGTATACACGTTACACATGGGGAAAACCACGAAAACACCCATGCAGCCAGCCCGTTTGCGGGATTCGAACCTGAGAATTAAAAAGAAAATGAAAAAAAAATGAATATTTTAACAATTGAAATTGAGCAATATAGTTTTAAAATTTTCGTTAAAGCTAAGATACGTAATTAAATAGATGAACAATCGAATATAATCTGTAACTTACAGAACCAATAGATGGTAAATTTGTGATAGCGTCGGAAGTCATGTGAGCATGTGTAACTATGACGTCAAAAAATCACGCGATCTCTGATGTCATTTGCAATTTTTTTTAGTCTCTTTTGCTACTTCAGTTGAAAATTTTCTGCCAACACTGCTCCAATGTTGTATCATATTATTATCTGGCAAGCCCTCCCCATTTACGGTTTCCAATGTTGGGGTGCGGCTGTTGTGTTGACCAGTACTGAGATGTAAATGCTCTCGTTCTTTTGGAAGAGTGATCAAATTTCAACAAAAATTCTGTAGCGTAGATGCATCACAGATAACATTAAAAACTCAATTTATTTTGCTGTTAAGGAAGAAAATTACCGCATGCAGTGCTATCTATGTAGAAAAAGAAAACTTGGTTAAGCCAGTCATTTAGACTTACATGTTAGAACATGTTTATTAATTAATATTGATAAAATTGTTTTTTCTTTTGTATAATAGTCCGTTCAATTAGTTCAGCATAGCAAATAAAACAGTAGTATTAGAGTTAATAAAATGGTCATGGCCAATTTATGAACCTTCACACAGAGTCATAGCTAGGGTTTTCAGCGCCCAGAGACAGTTGAAAATTTCGCGCCACCTCCTGTTAGCTAAGAATGGAAAATATTTAATTCTAAAATTTCGTAACATCAGTTGGCTTCCCTGGATGCTGCGCCCAGGGACAGATGTCCCCCCTTGCCCCCTACAGCTACGCCCTTGGCTTCACAAAAGTCAGCAATCTTTAATACGATCATTATATGGAAGGTGCAATTTAAAATTCCGTTATTAATTTTCTTGTTAATAAAATATATCAAAATCTTGAAAAACAAATTTTGAAAGCTAATTCAGAAATATACCCCAGAATTGCAAACAGCTTTCTAATTTTGCCGAGAAGTAATTTTTTTCTACGAAATAAAAATACGCTTCGCTGTAAAAAAAAAAAAAAAAAAAAAAAAATGGGAGAGCATTATCCAAAAGCAAATACAGTAAAAAGAATATTAGCAGCTATATTATAGCATTTTCAAAAATAAAAACACTTGTACAGCTAGACAAATAAATTGCTCAAAATTTTTTCAATACATTTTACACAATTCAGCACATTCTGTCATAACAAATATAGGGGAACAATTTTAGTGTCTTCTTGTAGTTCGAGGTCTTTTACTAGATGATTCCTTGGCAGTTTCGTGAGATGTAATAAAGATTTGTGAAGCCAATATTTGAAGGAAATAAAACTTCAGAGCCGAATCCCCATCCACCACAGAGTCCAACAAGGGGACACAGATTACTGTGCCAGGAATAACAGGTTCTATATGCAAACTGAAGCCCCCACAGTCAGCTTTCCCGAAAGCAGGTACTTCCAGGAGCTGCCACTGACACAAGGACTAGTGGCCAGCCGATTGACACCCGCGAGGACGACAAAGTGCCTCCCATTTAGTTGAAGCAGAGGCTAAAGCAGTGTGTTAAGGACAGTACCTCTTCCCCCAACTACCAGGACCCTCCTTTCCAGCATCATGGGTCTCCAAACATGGCAAACACGTGAGCAGTTTTCTCACTATTCAAAACTAGAGACAAGGGCTGTTCAATTTTCTCACGATGAGGCCCAACCGCGGAAGAGAAAAACCACAAGGGAGAAGAAAAAGGAGAAAAGTTACAGTTAAGAGAAGATGGAAAAAGGATAGATCACTGGAACCTTGGGATCGTGAAACTCGATCACCAAGACGGTAATCTCCTGAAAGGAACTTTACCTGCTATGCTTTAGCTGAGCATATTGGAACGGCCTTCCCGTCTTGAGTGTCTCTACCAGAAACTATGCTCCCTATGCACTTTACCCATTCCACCCAGTGCCCCCCGCCATGTTGAGACAGCACAGCAGGACTTGGGGGGGAGGAAGTTAATCAGAATACCAAGGTTAAAAAACACTTAAGTCGTTTCATATGGAATTTTCACATCAAGATAAAATGACTTTTTAAATGATTAAATATAGTTATTTTATTCTGCTAATATTGCAAATGAAATAAATTTTTAAACTCTACAATTGGTTGAATGCAAAATTTATAATCATTACTTGTGAAAATTATCTGTATCAAAAATAAAATTTAATGGGAAATTCTGCAGCAACTTAAAAAGCAAACTTATATATATATTGTTACCTTTGCTTTAGTAAGAATTTGATACTTTTCCATTCATACCACTTTGCATGTGTTCAAAAAAGATACATTAAAAATAAATGGAGCTTTCAGAATTATTATTATTATTTGTCTAGTTTTATTTTCATTCAGTAGTACAGATTTAGTTTCACGAGTTGACTGCAGCAGATATTTTTATTAAAAAAGCAAAATATTTACATCAATGTTTTTAGATCAATTTTTAATAACAAATTTCCTTGAGGTCTTAGACTGCAATTTGAAATTGTCAGATTGCATGATTATTCTTACTGTTATTTTTCAATGTATAACGACCTGCTATACAGTAGCTATCATCACATTTAGTTTATTATGATATATAATATTCTTAATTTGTATATCATTATCAATACATAAAATATAATCTAAATTATGTGTTTATGAGACTGAAAAATGAACAATAAATGACTGCATTTTTATATGCGACTTAACCTATCTGTTTTATTCATATTAACTTAACTGTAATCTTAATCATATTAGCTTAACTGTAATCTTAATTAATCTGTTCATTGTAACAATTAACAGCAAATAAATACTCGTAAAATATGACCAAATATGATTGTTCTCTCGAAAACAGTCCTTAAAACTTTTTTTTTGGGGGGGGGAGGATCCTCTAACAGTATACTTTGCGATTAAAAAGGAAATTTTTCAATAATGCCCTTACATTCACTTACAAATCATTTATTCACCAATTTGTTAATTTTCTTAAAAATGCAGGAAAGACCTGAAAAAAGTAATTTAACAGAAACTCAGTATGTGAATAATGTTCTATATATTATTTACATGTAAAATTTTTAAAAATGGTTTATCCATACCAAAATAAAGAATATTTTGATAGAAAACAGCTGAAGATAATAATCGTACTTCTCATTTTTTAACGGCCACTCCAACATTCTGGGTAAAGTTATTTTCTAATGATCACTTAGCAATTTTCAGGAAAGCTAAACATGATCTATCATAACGTAGCATGCGTGACACTGTACTTCATTGCATAGTGATCTGAACGTAAAACATTGTTTCAATTCTGAGAAAACCTGGAATGAAAGAATCCTTCATTCAAAATTTCTACGCATATGTTTATAGTGCATTGTTGCGTATCAACTACCTATCACTGAATACCTAGATGCAGTGATCCCCGAGAAATCTCTTGCAGAAATTTTCCCCGACCTGTCAATATCGTACTCACAAGCAAACAAGGTGTTTTCAATAATCGAGAGGCATTCTGAAAATTTTGGGCAAATGAGAATTCAGAAAATATTTCCGACATGCCCAGAAAATCTCTAATAAAAATAGGTAGCATAGAGAGAAGTTAAGTGAAAAAGACCAAAGTCTTCTCTCCTGTGTTTTTTTAACTCTGCCAAGAGTAAATTCTTTTTGCTGTTCACTCTGTCAAGAATATTCTTAATTCTCTCTGCAGAAAGATCCAATAACCAGTAAGAATTTTCCACTAACTTTTTTGGAAGCAACTTCCTCAGAATGGTCAGCTGCAGCCAGAAGAGGCACTTTGGCTGTTTGCCTTACACAGGAACTTCATCCTGCACTAAGAAATCCTCTAATTTTAACATCTGACAGCCAGGCAAGAACTTTCACAGACTCCAAACATCACCTTTTTTTTTTTTTTAAATCCTTTTGCCCCCCCTCTTTTTACAAGAACCAATGAACAAACACCATCTAGTAAATTATTTGCAAATTGTCTAGAATTTTAAATAAAATATGCTACCTCCTTGCTTTGTGTCAATTCATTAAAGTCCATTCTGACCATTTTTAGAAATTTTTTCCTCTAAACCAACTTCTTAAAACTAAACTTATCCTATACATGCAACTGAATATTTAAAAACTGAATTAAAAGTTCTCTTAAAAATATTTAACAGGTTAAACACCAAGCTTGTTTGTTTGGTCTAAGGTAGTTTTAACATGTTAAAAAATAAAGCATGACATACTCTGGAACTTTCTTATTGCAAGAAAACATTTATTTTAAGGTGTTTAACCATTTTCATTATTTCTTTTGAGAAACACAATCAACACACTAAGCTCATATGTGTAAGGCTGTCATATAGGCAATTCTCTTTACATCCTGTAAAATATGCTTGAAAAATATATAGTCATTTTATACACAAGACTGAGTTCCCTAATGCAGTATTTAACAAAACTGTCAGAACAGCTAAGAGAGATGGACTACTTTTTATATAACGTAGGCAATTACATGACTGACTGAAAAGACTCAATTCCTTATGAATTCGTTGGCACAAAATCGTATGTACAAAATTTATGTTTCACGTAAAAAAGTATAAGAATGCCAGTAAAACTAATTAGTGACCTGATAATTAAACTTAATTAAATCTGTGTTAAATGATTCCATTCGAGGATATGTAAGAATGTATTATTCCTTGAACAATAAAATTGCAGATATTTAAGTATTAGTGCAATTACCTTGGCATGATGCAGCAATTTTTCAGAAAAAAAGAATAATGACTTATAAATATATATTATTATTATTACAATATATATATTATTATTACACACATTTTAATTAAGGTGATTTAAACCCGAAATCAAGTATACCGACATGAAATATACTTCTAAGTATATCTTTTTCTTGATTGTATTTCTGTGAAAAATTTTAAAAATTTGCAAAAATTACTGCAATTTCTTGCATCATAGGCAAATCTCACATACATGCAAGAGAACAAATATTAATATTCATAAATAAAAATCAATGGAACAACATTTTTGCTCAATGGAACAACATATTGTTTGCTATACCTAAAGAATTATCCTACATGTGTTTGCCAGAGTTTGGCATATTCTGAAAATTTGGAGTCTTCTGAATTGGTTTCGCTAATATGCAAGTACAAAATTTTATCATAGACAAACATTCTTTGCCATATCAAGAAATAAAGGCAATACTTAAAAAAAAAATCAATTCTTATTTTGTATATATATTCTAATAACCTGAAGTTATGTGATACGACAGACTGATGAAAAGTGCAGAAGTTGGATTCATGTAAGTTGAGATCACACATTGTCCTATGATAACTAAATAGAAAAGACTTGAAAAATAATTGTTTAAAAGAAAAATACATAAAAAGAATGTAGTTTTCATTCAAATAAGTAAAAGTAGCATTAACTTGCTACATGACAATTGTTTGGGAAAATTTAACAAACTCCTTTGATGACATAATTTATAAAGTGGAAGAAAGATGAACTAAAGTATGTGAAGATTTGTTCTTCACTTCTATACCAAATAATAAAATGGTTAGCGAACACATGTAAAACATAAAATATTGCATTATCTAGAAACTCAATTATAACTTAATAACAGTTTTTACAGATGGTGTGTACTTTTAGAGCAGTGAGCATAATTGTGTATTGAGGCACATTATGTCTTTAAGGCTAATTTTAATACATAGACAGTACGTTTGATCAGTTCTCTATAATAGACAATTTCAAAATAAATTAATTATAAGCATGAATGTGTAAAATAAATTAATGATAATAAGAAGTTTAGCTTTTCATAAGTCAAGGTATCATGATACATTTTTTTTTTTTTTTTTTTAACTAACAGTCTTTTTGCATTGGGACTTCTCCATTAATCACAGTCTTATTGAACAGTCAGAAGAAAGTATAAACAAACTATATATTAAATAACATTTTTAGTACAAAAACAACTTAATTCATATATAAATTACTATGAAAATAAATTACTCTGTACAACAACTAATGTATCAAATATAAATGCATTAAATATTTTTATAAATATTTTACAATTATGATTTTAAACTCTGGTGTTGAACTAGATGATAAAACGATCCTCTGCGAGAGACCAGATCTTCATATGAGCCTTCTTCGACAATTCTTCCATTTCCCAGGACAACGATCACATCTGCTTTCTTTACTGTTGAAAGTCTGTGCGCTATTGTTATGACGGTGCGATCTTTCATGAGCTGTTCCAGAGCTACTTGCACAAAATATTCACTCTCTGCATCTAGAGCACTAAATGTATACAAAAATTAACAGTTAGACAGATTTCTAAAACATATTTTCAAAACTAGGAAATATTATCTGGGAATATAGAGAATATAATAATATTACCTATCTAGCTTAAAAATAAAAAGCTTATTTAAAGACCATTTGGAAAAGAACATGAAATTAAAAAAAAAATATAAATTCTGGATAAATTTCTCTTAAAATAAACTTCCTTTAGACGATTACTTTTGCAATCTATCAAATGGTGAAAATGTCAAAGTTTTGCAGTGCTATTTCATTACACAAGAACATATGCTAAAAATGCATAAATACTTCAACTTTAAATACAAAAAATCTATACATTTTTTGAAATAATTACTCTGAAAAATTATATGCACGTGAAAATTTTTAAGCAAATCTAATTAGCACAGATCAAAAATTGATAAGAGATTTGATTCAAACAGGTATACAAGCTTAAACAAAACCACATTAAAAAATGAAAATAACAATATTTGAATGAAACAGAGCCTAATAAAAAAAGCAGCTGCTTAAAAAGCAAACAGAGCATATACCACAACAAGAATATGATTCCATTTCAATAGAAAAAATCTAAAAATATTATTAAATTAATATTTATCATTTTTATGAACAAATAAAATATCAAATTTTAAAATTCACATCTAATTTAGACATTACACATTCTAACATGAAAATATAACTTTTTTTTACTGTACATGGATTATGTTAGGCATTGTGCAAATGCAAGTTTGCACAATGCCTAACATAATCCATGTACAGTAAAGAGAAAGGAAATCAAATACTTACCTCGTTGCTTCATCCAAAATAAGTATTTTAGGATTCTGAAATGAAATAAATTAAAAATATATAAACTATTTCATATTTAATTGGAAATCAAATGTTAACATAAGCTTTTTTCTTATTTACAGAAAATATACAGGAAATATCCAATCTAAATATAGTGGAAATTCCAAAATATTTTATTATAGTTTGAAAACATTCCAATAATGAAGAATCCTTCACCAAAAAGAGTAAATGTTATAACAGAAATTATATTTGGTACTATTTAAAAATTCGTAAATGTGACAATCAAAATCGTAATAACAACCTTGTATTTGGCGTACGTATATTAGAACACTCAATTGATTTCGAGGGCAGCTAAAGGTCCCTCCTCATCAGAAGAACAAAATTACTAGAGAAAGGGAAAAAAGAAGAAAAATAAAGCATTAGCGAAGGAGTCTCAGAAACACGTTGTTATCAGCACTGCACGTGGTCATAACCGGATATTGTATCAGAGTTACACTGGCCGCCTACTTTTATGGAGCCAGGCTATCTGATCAAACATTTAACACATAGACTAAAATGCAAAAAAAATTAGCGAAGTAAAAAAATAGGGAGCGAGGGGCAATTGCACCTTCACACACCAAGTCTGAACCTCGAATTTTTTTAATTTGCTAATTTTTTTGCGTTTTAGTCTATGTATTATATGTTTGATCAGATAGCCTGGCTCAGTAAAAGTAGGCAGCCAGTGTAACTGATTCAACATCCAGTTACAACCACGTGCAGTGCTGAGAACGACCACGTGTTTCCGAGACTCCTTTGCCAATTTTTCTTCTTTTTTCCTCTTTCTAGTAATTTCATTCTCCTGATGAGGAGGGATCTTTAGTTTCCCTCAAAATCGATTGAGTATTTTAATATACGTATGCCAAATACAAGGTTGTTATTGTGATTTTGATTCCAAAGGCATGCTAAAGAAGACTGATGCTGGTATCAAGGCTATTGATTTCAGCAATGAAGAATTTGACTTTCAAAGTTCTGTAGTAAAATTACTTCATAAATTATATATTTTTCTGTTAACAAAATCTTAAGAATTATACAGTACTTCTTACAATTATAGTGTACTTCTCATAATTTTTCAATATTTGCAAGAAACAGTTAAATTCTAAATTATTTTTTTTTTTTTATTTTCAGGATATCTGTTCAATTCCTCCTGATCTCATTACATAATTTTCCTAGGATTGGATACTCCCTATTAAGTGACATGTCACATGATCAGACCTCTGTTTTCCAACCTTACTTTGCCTAGCTGTAGTTCATAACAGTAAAAGTAGAACAGCTCAGCTGTCTTCTACTTTCAGATTGCACCGACTGCTTTGAAAAGAATTTACAGTTTCAGATGGAACTTTTATACTCATAATCTTTATATTAACATGCCACTTATGCAGTTTAACATAGACGATCTAGCTGAAGATGTTAATTATCAAATTTTTACCAACTGATATAGATATAAGAAAATTTATAATGTTTCATTAATAGCATTTATTAACATGTTCAACATGTTACTACTAGTCCTAATATATACTAGATTTCACAAAATTATTAAGAGCTCCGTTATTAATTATGAAAGTAAAAGAATGTCTATTATAAAATCTATCTCACAATGAATTCCCAAAAGTAAATTTCAAATCCACTGAAATCTTAACTTCTAGTTCTATCATTAATGTTTGGTACAAATATTAATTAACTTCTCCTTTCTCATTTTTCATTTCCAGAGCAAACTTTCAGATTTAAATTTTAAATTTTAATCTGTCTTACTTCCAGCAGTCTTTTGGGTACTCTTTTTTTTAACTCAAGCTATGACAGACATTTACATGTTCTGAACATATAGATATCAATGATGCACTACATATGTAAATATCAGGCTGAACATTATTCAGTTTATAGAAAAGTCATATTATATTATCATAAATACAAGTAACCTTTAATCAGATCAATACTTTAATTATATATAACTTACTATACTTAATATATAATCATATATTAAGTATAGTAAGTGCTCAAATTTTATATACAGGGTGTTTCAGCAAATTACTTGTAAACTTTCAGGAAAGATAGACAACCTAGACAATGGAAAATCAAATAGTCTGAAATCACATGGTCGAAAAGGCTTCCCTGGCATAGTAGTAACAACACAAAACAAAAGAAAGAAAGACAAAATCACATAAACAAAAGATAACAAAAAATATCATCACAAAAGGGTTTTTTGGAGATGAATTCAAGTAATTCAACTCTCTCGAATTTGAGCAATGGCCACCATATATTCATATCTGGAGAGCGCCAGGCACATAAAATATTCCTCTGAACGTTATTAAACATGACTGTTCCAATATGGAATATACTTCTTTACATGTATTCAAATGAGAAGTTACCTAAAAATATCAAGTTGAAGTTTTAAAAGTTTCTAGATTGTAGAAGCTGGTCATAAATGTTCTGCTAATTTTTTCCCAATTTCCATGGATGATAATTCATGTTCAAAACAAGCATTTTATTACTGTAGAGAACTTACAAGACACCTCATCTTGAAAGAGATACAATATGGCAGAGATCTAAATGCCTGGAAAGATCCTATTAATAGAGGAGTGGTACTTCTCTCAAAACACTAAGCACTTCATTGAAAACATAAAATTATGCCATAATAACCAAGGAAATCCAGAAGATCATATTCTACATTAAAATATACTCTTTGCTTACGAGGCATTAATTTTTTTTCTCAGAATTTAATACAAATATTTTCATTTGTTTCATAACAGTTGTGTTTCATGCATTTAATACTTTATTAAGATGCTACATAGAATTCAATAGTTTTTGAGAAATCATTTTTGTGCATATAAAATAATTTTAAATACAGTTTATCAAACTTCCGAAATATTTAATTTAGATTATTTTACATTGATAAGTATTTTATTAATATATGTAGAAAAGATTAACTCATAAAATTAGTTTTTTTACCCTTCAAACTGAATAAAGTAGCATTATATACAGAAGTGATAAAAACAAAAACTGAGTAACAAACCTTCAACAGAGCTCGAGCTATAGCTATTCTTTGTCTTTGTCCACCTGTAAAACATAATTATTAAAACAAGATTACTATATGAAGATATAATGAAAGAAATGAAAAGTCATGAATAGCAACTGATCAGAGACATCATTTAAAATAGAAGTAATTTATTTAAATATTTTTAATATACATTATGTACATTTAAAAGATAAAACTTAATTTTCAGTTAGAAAGTAAAATCATAAAAATTTTTTGTTAAACAATTTGCAGTTAGAAAGCCTCATCATAAAAATTTTAAAAGTGAAGACATAAACAGAGTTATGTATTCGGTTTTAAAATTTTTATGACGATGAATATAAGGTAGTTTTGAATATGAACATTACGCTTAAAAATGTTAGAATATATATTTGACAATTATACAAGAAAACTAAATGTGGAAATATAAATAAGTATTGCTTTAAGATCACTATTAATTCTGTTTCTCATAAAAATAACAGTTGGAACCACTTGGCATATACTTAGAACATAAATTTCTTTAAAATGGTTACATTTATTTTCAAAAATTTTTGTTAACATTCATTTACATTTTAATTATGTCAACATATAAAATTTTATTTTATACCTGAAAGCATAACTCCTCTTTCACCTACAATTGTGTCCAAGCCATTGGGAAACTTTTTTACAAAATCTAAAGCATTGGCTTTTTGCAAAATATCTTCTAGCATGTTATCATCTATACTTCTTCCCTCCAAAGCTCCATATAAAATATTTTCTCGAATTGAAAATGAAAACAAAGCAGGATCTTGACTCACAACTCCAATGCATCGTCTTAACCAACACAAATCTAAAGACTTAATATCATTGTCATCTATGGTTATGCAACCTGAAAAAGTAGATACAGCTCTTAAGTTAAAATACAGTGCCATCTATTATAGTATATAGAGAAACACTCTCATTTGATCATCTGGATTCAGCTACGCAGCACGCCAGAGCATGTACTAGTACTGAATGTAGAAATTACTATTAATAATATAGTTAGTTCTCTATTTATACAGTCCGCTCATTAGTTTAGAATTATAGAATCACAGTACATGGTCTGTCGAGCCGGAGTACAGCTAGTTAATATTTTATATTCCATTACCATTTGGAATAAACAGCCTACAATAATAGAACCTACTGCTAAAGATATGCAAATATTTTTTTAAAAACTCGTATTCCTACATATATGAAGGAATCTTTATAATGAAGTTTCAGGAAAATGGATATAAATTCATTGGCATGTATTTCAAACTTTAGTACATGGATTCAGGTATTTTAAATCTCAAGAGTATAAGAATATTTCAGTGTGACTTGTTAAAAGAATTATTTTTAACCGTTCATCAAGATATTACTTAAGTATTTATGATAATTTAAGTCAACCAGTCAACAAAGACATTTTAGAATCAGTAGAACAGATTATTTATACTGCATGAATTTACTCTTTTTCTGGCTGCTGAAAATTTAGCTTTGTAAGCTAAATTTCAATAAATAAAGCTGACATAATCTTGCACATAGAAAATTATGCAAAGTCCTAAAATCTATTAACTATAATGTTAAAAAATATATGCTTAAATGGATAATGCATAAACTTGGACCTGCCTTTAACAAGTCTATGAACTCTGATTAAACAAAATTTCAGTTCAGCTAAATACTGAAGTCTTCCAACCCATATTACTTTCTTCATGACATGTAGGAGTGCACACTGGCCATGTAGGATTCATTGGAAGCCAAAGCTTTCATTATTTATCTAATGTTGATGCAGCAGAGGCATAATCACAACATAAACATTAATCATACTAGAAAAACAGGATTAGCCAGAAATTCACACTTGGGACCATGTTACTCTAGAACAGGGATTCCTAACCTTTTCCTGGTATTGACCCCTTTCAAAATAATGGTTTTGTTAATCTAACCTCTTAAATTTTTCTCTACGGAACAAGGAACATAATCATAACACAAACAGTTGTATATAAATAACTTACAGATAACAATTAGATTAAAAAATTATATATAAAAGTTTTGAAAAAAATCATTTATTAGATTATGTTTTATCTTTTGTATTATTATTAATTTTACAAATATAAACATGTTTTCAGAAACAAAATTACAAAAAATTCTAATTGCACAAAAATTTGACTTTAATTAACTTGATGTACAAAATATATATTTTACATTGCTTTTGCATAGAAAAATGTGTTATGCTTTAAATACCTGAAATATCCTGAAACCTCTTTCTCCTAAAAAAGATTTATTCTAAAGCAGTTCACTAAATATCTGGTTGTAACAAAAGTTTCCCGCCAAAACACATTCTTAAGTTAGGAAAAAAACATGTAAGCAGTACTTTTAGTGCAGGTAGTATTCACCACCCACATCTATGAATTTCTGACAATGTTTTCATATCTTTTTTACAGCCTTCGACCCAGAAACTTGGTGGCCACGGCTCAACAGATCAACCTCATTTTGGACGTCCTCTGTGGAAATGGAAGATAGCAGCAAGATGTAGCTGCAGGTGTGAAAAAAGGTAGAAGTCTGAAGGAGCGATATTGAGGCTATATGATGGGCGGGGCAAAAGATCTCATTCAGGTCCATACAGAGTCCGGCCAGTGAATGCAGACACATGTGGTCTTGCATTATTTTGATGAAACTTTACCTTTTTGTGCCAGAACTCATTTCGAGGTTTTTCCATGAGAGCAGCTTCAACACGGACTAGCATCTTGCTGTACACCTTAGTGTAAAGGGTTTTACCTTTTCCAGATACTCTCTGTGGATAATACAATGACAATCCCACCAAATACAAAGCACGCTCTTAATCAAATTGTGATTTATGATGCCGCCGATGGGCTCACCAGGCGCACACCAGCCCCTTTTTGGCCTGTGTTGAAGTAAATCCACTTTTCATTACAAGTGATGAACTGGTCCAGAATTTTGTACTTGCATTGATATTCAAGTAGGTTAGTGCAGGCCTGAACACATCTGTCTTTATCTGCTTGAGTCAGCTCATGCAGCACTCAGAGATTGAACTTGTAAGTCAAATTTATGCCATGCATAGCACAATTAATGGACATGGCACTAATGTCCAACTTCTTAGCAAGCTCTTGAGTGGTTGCTTACTGATCTTCTTCCACAAGTTCCCGAAGACAGTCCTCATCAACATCAGTAGGTCTGCCAGAGCATTATGCTTCTTGAATGTCACAGTTCTTGTTTTTGAACTTTCAGTACCAAACCTTCACAGTGTCACACGATACAACATTAGTATCTAAAGTTCTACACATGGTTTGGGAACATTCTGTAGCTGACTTTTGGCAAGAGAATTGGATATAAATTATGTTTCTAATCTGGTAGCATGATAACTCCATTTCAGACACCTTGTACTTAAAGATAATAATATTTTTTACAAATTTTGCAACACAGTGTTCTAAAGCAAGTCTCTTTCTTTCAAATACCAGAAATCATTTGACAAAATATGATTAAACACACCAATGCGAACTGTTTGCTCAGACATTTGTGGTCGTGTGAAACTTCTGTTAAAACGAGATATTTTGAAAATACTTGAAAGTCAGTTTTGGAGAAACAATTAATTTTAAGACTAAGAAGCAAATAAATACTTAACAAGGCAAAGAAAAAATTACTATCAACAATATTCCTGCCTCAATACTGTTGATATCAAAGACATAATATTAAAAGGAAGGAATTACTATTATAACAAACATTTACTTCAAATTACTATCATTTATAATCACAGATTTTTACTGACTGTACTGAATGACAGTACTGAATACCAAATACTTTAATGTAATCAATCTATTTCAAAGAAATTTTACAAAAATAAAAACAAACATTTTCAATTTTGAAAGAAAATCTTGTAGTCTACAAATAACCACAATATTAACTCTTCATGCATTACGTTCTAGATTAAGTATATGGTATGGCCTAGCAATCTTATTTCTATAAACAGCATGCATTGCTAAATTAATTTTAACTTAAACTGCAAAATATATAAAATATATCCGAAAGAATTTCAAAAATAAATAATAAAAATTTTAATAAAATCCAATACATATTGAAGAATTAAAAAGGCACATGAGGTCAGATTGAAGTTAAAAATGAAATTCAATGTTCTAGCTTAACACATACTAAAAACCACATTTAAACATTAGCAAAATAAGAACTTTCACAGGCGACTGCTGTTTCAGCTAGAGGATGGAATTAATGGCTTGATAAAATTTCTCCTCGGTGACTTCTGCCAGGATGGTGTATTTCTCAGAATCAATGTCCAGCTATATGATAGGTTAAAAGGAAAGCCTCTGTTGAGATTATAACTTGTACAGTAGTAGAGATTATAACTTAAACAGAAACCTTCCTTTCAACTTACCATACATCTGGACATCAATTCTAAGATGTACACTGCACACACACAAAAAAAGGGCAGTTCTATATCTCTTGTTCTACTGGGTCGATTGACAAAATTCAATTTGCATGTTTCAGGTCTTGAAAGCGCGACTTAGGATACGCATCAGATTTATATAAAGCAATGTTCTAAAATAAGGTATTTTGACATAAAATCAGACTTTTTCTGCAATAACATACCAATTTCTTTCCATATTTTGATTCTACAACTCAAATTACGCCAAAACACCAAGTTTTGTAAAAATCGCATGAGTAGTTTTTAGAAAATTAGCTCTCAAAATTTTAGGTCCTCATTTTTAATTGAGGTTAAATAAATATATATATTTATTAATCTCTTTTTTTATTAAACCTATTTGATTCTTCCTTTCACATTTCGAAATTTAGGTTCATTCCAAAAAATTCACCCATTTTTTAAGATTTTTAAAATTTGTATTTTTAAATAATTTTTCATAAATTTATCAAAAAAGTTTTAAATTATAATCTATAAAATTTGTACATCATCTTAAATATCTTAAAGTAGATGTATTCTAAGCACCTGCAAAAAATTACAGTTTTTTACTTCCTTGTACGAATTAAAAAGGAAGTATTGTAATCACGAAAAGTTTCAGGTAGCATATTTCAACAAAAATATATCCATTTTTCAAATGGAACTTACAATGTATTTTCGTGACATCTGTATGTAAGGACAAATAAAGCACTCAAAAAAATTATAAAACTGCTTTAAAATGAATTTGAAGAGAATTTTTTGTGCATTTACGTACATAGTACGTAATAACTTTAAAAAAACGAGTATAACCTCAGAACGTTGAAATTTTGTATATAGGACTGCTATAACATGTAGATGTGCACCTCGATTTTGGTTGCAATCGGCCGCACCAAACGTACATAAAATATATTTATATAATATCCACTGTTACCCGGCTCAGTGATCAGTTTCTTTACTATTATAGGTTTGTAAATTGTACATTTTTGCTTTAAAAATGATTGAATGTGTTGTTAGCTTCCGGTTAAGGTTTTTATGCTTTTAGTAAATCTGTATGCAATATTTTTTAGAAATTATCAAAATTTTTAAAATGGTTTTGCCGTTAAGCCTAATAATGTTTTTGATGGCAGCCATTGCTTTTGTTTACATTTGAAACAGCAGGATAGCGGATTTGTTGCCAATCTACAGAAACTTAGCTTCGTAACAACGCCTTTATTTACGCAACAACGCGTAAATAATTAATGCGTAAAATTTATTATTGCCAATTATATCATGCTTAATCCTTTCTGGAATTTTTTCGAGGAAATAAGTGTTTAATATTTACTTCATAATTTTTAATATAGATATTTTGAGTTTTTATGTATTTTTGCCTTGTCGCGAAGTGAGAATTGAATTAATTGAATGAGAAATACTATATTGTCTGTGAAAAACTGTTTCTTTTTTGACATGTTTGCTTAATTTCTTTTATACATCGTTCTAGCTTTATTATAGTATTTGAATAGAACATGTGCCAACGATTAGATAATTCTTTAAATGATATAAATTTTGTGCATTCTGAGTTATAATATGAACGAAATATAAATACTGTTAAATAAACCTAGCGCCAGAGTGTCGCTATGGTAAACAAAGTGAATTTTAAAGAATGCATTTATTCTATTGTGGTTTATGCGCTGTCGGCGAAGTAGGTTTAATTCAATCTAATAAGTTTAAACGAAATGCAAGAAAAAATGCGTATTATTTTATATTCTGTACAAGGAAGTCATGTGGTGTACACATCAGATTTTTTATTCAAAATTTGTGAAGATATACATGAATTTATATATTGGTGCATTTTGAAATTTGGCATATTTGTTGAAAGCAAATGTAGTTTAGACATTTTGCTAAAATTATTTGGAAGTAGAAATGATAACTTTTTTCTTCCACTCATGCACAATGTAAAAAGGTAGGAATGAGGTGACTTTTTTCCTGCTCTGACATAATGGAAGGGAAAGGAAAATTAGTTGCCACATATTAAGAAGTTGCCCAAGTGAATTATTCTTGGCGCAAACTGAACAAAATTGTGCCAAGATAAATTTTCGAATTTCTCCGTAAATTTCGTACCAAACTTTGCACAATTTAATATCTAGGCATAATTTGAGTCGTAGAATCGGAATATAGGAAAACATTGGCATGTTATTTCAGAAAAAGGTCCATTGTTTTTGTCAAAATACCTATGTTAGAACAATGCTATACATAAATCTAATATATGTTCTAAGTCGCACTTTCGAGACATAAATAACGCAATTTGAATTTTGTCAATCGGCCCAACTAGAACAGGAGATATAGAACTGTCCCCCTTTCTCCTCCTCCTTTTTTTTTCTTTCTTTCCCCCTAGTGTACATTAAACCTATAAAAAGCTGTGAAAGAGAGAAATTAAATTGAGCCCTTTTCCCAGCTGAGCAAGCAGGCAGGATGTCCATGAAAGCTTCAGTTTTACTATCATTGTTTCAACATATCAATCTAGAACAGTTTCTTAACTATGGGTTGCTACTCCAAATGGGGTCACAAATCAAAATTTGGGGGTAGCGAAAATTCAGTTCAATAGTTCAATTTAAAGAAACTGGATTCCTAAGACTTTTAAAAAAATTACATTAATTGACATTAATGAGATTACACTTTTAAGGACATTAAATTAATCGATATTACTGAGATTAATTAGCTGTTGGATAAAGTATTAAAAGAATTTGTAAAGCTATCTGTAGGTTTACAAATTCTTTTTGTACTTTATCTAGTGATTCAAATTTAAAACTAAAGTTTTCACAAAAATCTTTGGTGAATTCTGGATTTGAATTAGAGCTACATTTGTCACCATTTCTGAAATGACCTTAAATGGTCTTCTCTCATTCAATACCCCATATTTCAATAAAGCTTAATATTTCAATCAGCTTCAACACTTATTAAAACCAAATGCCATTCATTCAACATTCAAACATGTTGAAGATGCTTTAGCAGTGTTAAATACTGCACCAACATTTAATTTTTTATGTAGCAAAAAACAAGCACATCTGTCTCATTAGAGTTTTCTTTAATTTTGGTTTGCTTAAAATAAATACCCCATATTTCAATAAAGCTACTTTTTCAGCTTCAACGCTTATTAAAACCAAATGCCATTCATTCAACATTAAAACATGTTGAAGATGCTTTAGCAGTGTTAAATATTGCACCAACATTTAATTTTTTATGTAGCAAAAAACAAGCACATCTGTCTCATTAGAGTTTTCTTTAATTTTGGTTTGCTTAAAATAAATCCTAAAACTACTTTTTCATATGTATAATGTTTACTAAAGTACTAAATTATCTGTGGGAGGAAATTTATTTTTACATCTTTATTTTATATTTAATATATAGAGTCGTGAAAAAAATCTATGATAAAAAAAGGTCAAGATTGAAAATGTTTAAGAAGCCCTGATCTAAAACATTTTATTTTTTTTCAAATCATCTAACCCAGTAAACATTTGTATTATCAGTACTAAAAATATTGAATTTACAAAATACTGAATATTATTTAACTAAATGTCAAAACTACTAATAAATTTGAATTACTCTTATGCATCTTGTAATTAATCAATGACAGGAACTCTTAAAAATCTATTCCCTCTTAGCATAAATTTGTGTGTTCAAAACCATTTATAAACTACTAGGTTCACTGTATGCTAAACTTTTTGAATTCTTTTCAAACCAAATTGTAAATATTAGATGTAGACTGCATATGCCGGCCTTCTAGACTTAAGATTTCATAACAGGTGTAGACAAACACACATTATTATTATTGAACACATAAGAGTTAATACATATTTTACGAGAACACAAGGGTTTTTAACTCAAATGTATTCTTCCAAACCCATATGTGGATTCACAATATTTAAATGATTAAATCAGTTACAAATGCAAAATTATTTTAATGATAAAAATCATAATTACCACTTTGGCAGTCATAGAATCTAAGAAGCAATGAGCCAACAGTAGATTTTCCACAACCACTAGAACCAACAATTGCATAAACTAAATGAGCAGGTATAGAAAGACTGAAATCTGTAAGCACTGGGGCATTGAGACGTGTTGGATATGCAAAATTTACCTTATTGAATTTAATACTTCCAGTAAGATGAGGCAATACCATACCACCTACACAAAACAGATTAAAAAAGTCTCAAAATGACAAAACAAATTCAAAAATCAATAAAGTGAAAAAAATATATCAAGTAATACTAGTAAGTGGAATTTACATTTTTAATAACTTTTCAGTGGATACTTTTCAATAAAATTTCATAAAAAGCTTTTCTCTTTCTTCCATAATGAGAATAATTTTGCCTTCCATATAATAATGATCAAAAATCTATGTGCACAATATTGATACAAAATTAATGCAACTGGTCCTTCCTCCATGTTCATATTCTGCCATCATATCTTTTCTTCCATTCCATTTCCTGTTGCCAAACAGAAAAAGAAAATGTTGCAATAAAATTTGGTTTTTTCTAATTACAAGTATCCGTGGTTTCAATACACAGTAGAACTTCTGTGTTTTGGGAATATTTTATATTAAACATGTGGCAATAGCCAACTTATATATACATCTACCACACAAATTTTGATTATACATGGATTTGCATGCTTAATGAACCACCACTGCACCCACAGAGTACAAAAATGTAAAACACTAGCCTTACAGATTTTTATTTATTTTAAAATACTTTTTATTATTTTTTAACAGAACAGTATCCATAGTCTTAAATTTAACCAAACAAGTATTTTAAGTCATAGTATAAAATCGGCAATGAATTGCCAATTTTTCATGAGAATGCAGATAATTAAAAAGTATCTAAAACTCTGCAAAGGAGTTTATGTGAAGCAGAATGCCTAATATGCTGTAACAAAAATTAAATACTGAAAACAGAATTGAATAAAAGGTTCAAAAGCAAAATGATGCAACTTTTTAATTTACAAAGCCAGAATTCAATTAATGTCAAATCTGTTACCTGACTTAAATTCTCATATAGATTTTTAATTAAGCAAACACATAAAAGAAAAGTAGAATATAATTTAATAACAATCTACATAGTCAAAGAAGTGGCTTGCTCAGTTTATTTGGTTTGATAATAATTTGGAGTTGATTCATAAAAGAAATTACCTGAAATAGAATTTGCAAAACTTAAAGAATGGAAAGTTATTCATTCAGCCATAACTGACGAAACAGGTTCTATTAAATATTTAATTGTTTCTTGTAATACTAAAGATTTAGAACAATAATTTTAAATTTTAAATGTAAAAGCTGTTTCTTTGAAAGCATTAGATATAAAATTTAGAGATTTAATTGACGTAAACAACATTGAAACTGAAATCAAAAGTGTTCTGGCATACAAGGAAAAGATTGCAAAATAGAGTTTCAGAGCTACAAAATTATTAAAAGAAAAGTGAAATGCTAATCATTCAATAATTTCTAATGGTTTTTCTCAATAAGGTAATAGCAATATCCCTACTGTTTCTGAAGCTGTAATAAAGCTCTGATTACAATGCTAAATTGTCAAAATTATAATTGATAAATTTTGGATTCAACAAATAAATGATACAATGGTGAAACAGTTTACCAGTTAATTGTTCTCAATGAGAGACAAAACAATTTTGGAATTGGTTCAAAGGTTTTAAAGGGAATGAAACATTACCATCCGTGAAATTTCGCGAGATTGGGAGAAACACCGTACCTATGTTGGGCCTACCAAGAAGTCTATAATAGTCAGTGACTGACTATCCAAATGGCTTGAAGATGAAGTTCAAAAAAGCTGCTATATACACAGAATTCTTAGCTGTTGGCAAGCAATAAGCTTACGCACTCTCTCATTATTAGAAGACTCCTCATAAAGAATTTAAGGAAGGTAACACAGTGCTGGTCCCTGACAGTGAAAGCAAAATTTATGCAATATGTACTGGATCCACTACAATCATCAAAAAGCATACTGATTATAGTTGTTCTATATCTCCTATTGTACTGGGCTGACTGACGAAATTCAAAGTTTTCCATGTCTCGAAAATGCAACTTAGGATATATATTAGATTTGTATATAGCATTGTTCTAACATAGGTATTTTGACCCAAATCTGACTTTTTTCTGAAATAACATACCAATTTTTCAATTTTTTCCCATATTTTGATTCTACGACTCAAATTATGTCTAGATGTTAAATTTTGTAAAATTTGGTGTGAAATTTACAGAGAAATTCAAAAATTTATCTTGGCACAATTTTTTCAGTTTGCGCCAAGACTAATTCACTTCGCAAACTTCTCAATTTATAGCCACCCATTTTCTTTCTTTTTTCATTGTAGACAAGCAGAAAAAGTCATCATTCATACTTTTAAAATAACTTTAACAAAGTGCATAAGCCACATTCGACATTATTATCACTTATAACAAATCTGCCAAATTTCAAAATGCCCCAATACGTAAATTCACATGTATACCTTGGGAAATTTTGAATAGAAACTAATTTTTTGCAGATGCTTAGAAATACATCTTCTTTGAGATGATGGTAAAAATTTATAAAAATTATTTTAAAATACAAATTTTTAAAAATAAATCTTAAAAAAAAAGGAGAATTTCATTTGGAATGAACCTAAATTTCAAAATGTGAAGGGAACAACCAAATAAATTAAAGAAAAAAAGACATATTAATATACGAGAGTTGGAACTTTAATAGTGGCAACTATTTATTTACAAGGAATACAAAAGTGATTCATGTCACCATGTTTTACAGTCCTTCAATATAGTCGCCAGCATTGTGTACAATCCGTTTCCAACGGTGTGGAAGTCTCAGAATACCTGTAGCAGCGCCTGTTTTGTTGATAGTTTGAATGGACCGGTCTACTGCCGCAAGAATCTCAGGAACAGTTTGGAAGCGAGTGCCATGAAGTGGTTCCTTCATCTTAGGAATTAAGTCATAGTCACAAGGGCTTAGATCTGGGGAGTATGGTGGATGGTAAAGCACTTCCCAGCCCCACCGCTTGAACAAATCAGTCACAGCTTGCGCTGCATGCGGCCCAGCATTGTCATGCAAAATGAGAGGAGTGTTCTGCAGAAAGTGTCGCCGTTTTTTTCTCAAAGCTGGTCAGAGATTGTGCTCCAAAAATGAGCAGTAATAATGCGCAGTGACGGCCTGCTGTGGGGAAACGGTATGCGTTAGGATGACACCATCACAGTCACACACGAGAATCACCATAACTTTCACATTGCTGGGGTTCTGACGAAATTTCGAACGTCGTGGTGACCCGTGATGACGCCATTTGTTTGATTGGCGTTTCAGTTCTGGCTCGTACAATCAGGCCCAAGTCTCATCCAGCATAATGATACGGCGTAAAAAAGCATCATCTTCGCGCTCATAGCGCTCCAGGTGGGTTCGGGCAACATCGTATCGTAGCCATTTCTGCATTTCCGTCAATTGATGTGGAACCCATCATGAAGCAATTTTTCTCATGGACAGGCGTTCCTTCAGAATGTGCAGCACAGTTGTATGCGCTAATCCTGTTTGTCCGGCCAGCTGACGAATCATTTGGCGGCGATCACTGTCCATTAGTGCGGCAACAGCTTGCACGTCTGCAACGCTGACACAGACGACCTGGCCGCAGCATGTCTGCCACATTTTCATGGAGCCATTTTGGAGTCCTTCATTGAATGCTTTCACCCATCTTGCTACGGTTCTGTAAGGCAATGCAGATTCCCCGCAAGCCACTTAAAGCCCTTGATGACACTGTCATGCTGTACGACCTCTGGCACATTCAATTTTTATCCAACATCGTTGTTCTTGTTTTGAAAACATCCTGGCAACACTTAGGCAGGATGAGTCTTTTTGCTGAGAGGTAAGGTAGGTATGTAGTTTACGTGTGGTATAGGCGATATTCTTTGGTTTTGTTGTGTAGCGTTTTTTCAGCTGTGTTGCCACTATTAAAGTTCCAACCCTCGTACTAATAAATATATGCAAGATTCAAGTAACATGGAAGAGCTAAAATTTTGAAAGTTAATTTTTTAAAAACTACATGTGCGATTTTTACAAAATTTGGCAGTTTGGCATACTTTGAGTAGTAGAATCAAAATATGGAAACAATTGGCATGCCATTCAAGAAAAAACCAGATTTTGTGGCAAAATACCTATATTAGAACAACGCTATATATAAATCTAATAGAAATCCTAAGTCACACTTTCAAGACATGAAAAACGCATGTTGAATTTTGTAATCAACCCAGTAGAATGAGATATAAAGAATTATTCAATTTTTTTTTTTCAGCGTATTTTCACACAAGCAAAATATGAGAAATTAAGACTGTTGCAAATAATATCAGAGTGATATACAATGCAGACATTGATTTGGAGAAGTTGAAAAGATTCCAAGAATTATTCCATTGAAAGCAGAAGAATGTTATCCTGATAAGTATTTGGTGAAGGGTTTGAGAACACCACTCAAAAGAAAAGAGCTCTCAGAAATTTTTAAAAAGCACATCAATCTCAAATCTGGTGCCCAAAAATCATCAATATTCAAGAATATAACATGAAAATCAAACTTGAAAGTATATCAAAAGCCGGAGGTACTAATTGTTAGTACAGATGGTACTAATTGTTGAATCAGAAAGTGAACATGGCCATCCAATAGTTTTATGCATTGAAGAAAGACAGAAGTGTAAGATTATATATGAACTACCACTACCTTAAATCACCAATCATAAAGACAGTCTTATATTGATGATGTGATTATATTTTCTAATAACTGAAATATACTCACGTTTTGAAACATTTAAACATTTTGCCTATTTCATTTGAATAGTTGAAGAATTAAAATGCTAAACCTTTTAAATTTTCCTGATACTATGCAATATGGTTAATATTTAGTTATTTGGTAAGTTAATGACAGATTCACATAATTGTTATTTTGTTTCTGTACTTAAGATAATCTTAAAAAGATTCACATTTAAGGAAAAGAATTTATTAAAGTGATGATGAATTTTTAATGTTTCCTAAAATTAAACTTATATTTATTTCTTCAACTCTGTTTTGCAAAAATATGATATGTCTAGGATTTTTCAAAAGAAAGGATATAGTACTACTATTTGCAAATTATTTGGTATTTGTTGAAAGTAATTCAATTTTTGTTCTTACTGCATTTACTTATGTTCCAAGTTGCAATGAAAAAGTTAAATTATTGTTACATCTTTTTAAAAATTAGGATTATTGGATTTATGTTGAAATAGTTGTTATTGAAATTAGCAGGAATTAGTTAATCAAGTTAAAATAATTCACGATTACTAATTTTTTAAGTTCCATGAGAATGTTTCACAAAAAATACAGACCAATTTTCCAAAAAATTTATTTTATTTTTTAATGTAATGTATAATCCATACTTAATAACTAAAATTTGTATTTTAAATTGATAAAGAATCTTTTGATATGTTGATAATGTTTACCCACTTATGATAAATATTGATGGTTCAACAATTTTTAAAAAAGTCATGAAAATCGTCACTTGCACCTGTTAAACAACTTTTACCTTTTTATCCATAAAAAATTATTAGATTGCATTAACATGCAAGTACCTAAACAAATGCCCTCATTTTTAATTTCTGAGTAGCTATAAAGTTTGTAATAGTCTAGTTGTGTAAAACTTTAGCAGCACATTCATTTTTCAACATACAATCATGAAACTGTTAGAAAGGGCTTTTTGCATTCAGTACGATGAAAATTCAACTCTGTAGAAAAGTGATGCATATGTAAATATCAGCACTATGATGCCAGAGGATACAATAGAGCACATAAAATACAAGAAGTGAGCTCCCATAGTGCAAGACAATTTAAAAAAAAAAAGGAAGGCGCATTCCCAGGCATTTTTCTGCAAGTGAAAGTGAGATGCACATACAGCATGCCAACAAGAAAACATCAGGATGCTTTTACACATCGTAGAATAACTGACAAGCTTGTGGAGAAGTGTTTGTTTGATATAATGTTCGGAACTGACAAAAATGTTACTTTACAAACTTGGAAAGCCTTCAAAATGACAGGTACAGTTGCAAGAAAGGTTGGTAGTGGTTGGTTAAAGATAACATTAGTGACTGATGTTTGATATATCCTGCAGGCAAAAAGAAATTGAATCAGACAACAGGCAACACTGCATTTGCACAGAGTAAATGAATGACAGGTATCCCAGTTTACTGTAGTTAAATGACTTTATAACTGCAGCCTACTCAGCCACTATCCTGTATGCTGTATGCCATTGACAGAAGTCCATTGGCAGCACAGTTAACAGGATATAGAGAACACAAGACTGGACATCTCATTAAGAGAGTCCCATCCTTTTTACTGAAGTGGAATGATTCTGGCATGCTAATATGAGAAGGTATTAAGATGAACAGACGAATGAATGCAGTTCCACATTTTCAACAGAGGTTCACACTCCCAGAGATTGTTTAGGAGATAAAGTTATCCTACCCTTGGTGCATCTTTTCCACAATGCTATTGTTCCTTTGTTTTTGTGAATGACAGGGCATGACCATACAGGATTCAGCTGTTGATGCGCCTCTGGAAAGTGAAGATATCCAAAGAATAGATTGGCAAATGTGCTCCCCCGATTTAAATCCCATTGAACACATGTGGGATATTTTAGAGAGACAACTGGCAACCTGATCTTATCCTCCAGACAACTGACACAAATGTTCCTTGAAGAATGGGAACTACCCCAAGAACTGTTAGATAATCTGGTACTAAGTGGACAGGCAGTTAAAGGAGGTACTATCCTTTATTAAGGGTCTTTCATTTGTTGTTCTCCCTTTTGGTCAGACAGTTTTTGTACCAATGCCAATCAGCCAACAAAACCCTTTTTCTATTTATTTGTTCTATACATTCGTGCATATTCGTTTGTTGGAACCTATTCATTATTTTGCTACTTAAGTATTACATTGTGCCTTTCTAGTATGAATTTTATGTCTCCCAGCTGATTTTTTTCAGAATTATAGCCAAAATCAGAAAAGTTCCTAATAAATATGTTTAATAGGCATTTAATTATTACCAATTTTAAAATAAATCAATTAAACTTTAGAAACTTTTCTGAAAAAGAGTAATCTAAATAAAAGTAAACTAGTCAGTACATTTAAATCATAATCTGATAAATTTGATATGAAAATATCCTTACCATTAATAGCAACCAAAGGTGTTCTGTCAATAAGTTCCCATAATCTGGTTGAAGCTCCCAAACCACGCATTAATTCAGAATAAAATGTACTCAGTCCTTAAAAAAAAAAAAAATCAACATCATCTGTTAAAAAATGACAAACATTTGCATGTAAACTATATGCAGCTATCAAATAATAAATCTGGAACATAAAGATGAAATGATAATAAAATATGCTGCTCATTATGAATGGAATAAAATAACAAATGAATTAAGACAAATTTCATTATTTCCTCTTTTAATTTATTTTCATTTAAGAAATAATTCTGTTTACTAAAATATCACAGACTTTGCGACTGGAAATCGGAAAATTCCCCATTACCGCAATACAGTCATCCCTTGCTACTTCGCAGTTTATTTTTCACGGGTTCAATACATTGCAGATTGTTCAAAAATATCCATTAAGAATTCAAAATTGAGGAATTATGGCATGAAAATTGCCCACATGGCAGCAGAAGGCAGGGAGTGCCCACACAATTCAAAATCCACATTGCTGATTCGCTGGCTACGAGGGGTCTGACGTCACCCATGACTACGAGGGATTTACACCTGACAAAATTCACCACTCCGCCGTAGATAAGGCCGTGAAGCTGGCTCGGTTGGTAGCCACTGAAGGGTTATCTGACATGACAGAAGAAGAGAACATGCAGATTGAGTGTCACTCGAACCCCTTAACCGGCGAGCAACTCGTCGAAATGACAAGATTGGCAAGTGAGGAAGAAGAGGAGGTAGGTGACGACAACGAAGTTGAAGAGCACGGCTTTACCTTGAAAAACCTGCAAGAGCTCTGCAACATAACATGGACTATGCAACAAAAGGCCCAAGAAATCGACGACATGGACAGAGCCGTCGTATTGACTGTGTACTGTGTAATGGCACAAGGGGATCTTTGCTCAGAAGAAAAAAAAAAATGGTCAACTCCCCATCACAATGTTCCAAACAAAAATGTTCTGCAGAAGCTCCTCCAGCTGCCTTTACGCCACCTCCTGCAGCTACCAGAGCTCTATCTGAAGCTGGCCGTGACGATCCAGCACCCCTAGCACTTGACGAGGCGTCATCTGAGGAGCAGTAAAGCTCTCATAAACCTGTGCAGTAAATCATCATCTTCAACTCCATCATACTGCATAGGTGTTTCATAAACATTTATAAAGATCAAGCAAAGAGAAGCTATTGTCAGAGGTGAGTTAAGTGCCTCGTTATAAAAGAAAAGATTCTATAAGCATAAAAGAGTTCTAAAAACATATTTACAACGCATACACTTTAGTTACATCTATCTATGTTACACACATGTATCATTTATATCAAGGATGTCAAACTCGCGGCCCACAACAAATATTTTTGCAGCCCGGCCAATATATCGGCAAATAATAATATATAATAATAAAATAACATATTGACGATGAAAAAAATGAAATTTCTACTGCTAGGTAATTAACGCTAATTTATTCAGTGTTGTTAGATTACTCACAGCGAGCTGACACACACACTACTTAAATTACAAATGCGTGTGAGTAGCTTGCGTTCAGCTACCTTCGGCTTTTGGGAGACACGTGCACTCAGAACTTGTACGCATCCCCCGATAGCCGAATGTGGCCGAACTCATGGTCTGTTTTCCAATCATAGTTTTGTACAATATATTGGTGCATGTGTTGGAAAATATAGCTTATTTTAACCTTTTACTGCATCATCTCTCCTCCTTGAAATGTTTATTTAGTTTAGTTCTTATTTTAAAGTAATATATTAGTTACTTCTACTTCTTTTTCTTGCTGCCACTGTTTGCGTTGAGAACGGACTGTTTCAACCTAATTGAGATGTAAAAACGAAACGTGATGTTACGTCATCTGGAAAGCCGATTCGTGCAGATAGCTGATTGGTTGCCGTGAGATGACGTCATTCCTACTTCTGCTATAAGTATCTCGCGTCGCTCTGGCTCAACCCTTCTGGTCTCCTTCTAGTTCCTGCTTTCCTGGCACTTGAGTGAGCGGTTTCCAGCCACTTCAGAAGGATGCATGCAGTCCGGTGATTAAAGTGCCTTGGTTCCGGTTTGCGGGATGGCTGTTCCTGAATAAAGTTCCTTGGTGCCTGTCCGCGGGATGATTGTTCCGGAAAAAGTTCCTTGGTTCATATCCATAAGATGATTGTTCCAGAATAAAGTTCCTTAGTTCCAGAGGCTACCATATGAGTGACTGCTGTGGACGGCATCCATGTTCTTCAATAAAGGCGGCATTTAAAGCACGTGAGCAACGATTCCTCGTGCAAACGGAGTTAGGCCGGTTTTGAGTGCTTTCAAGAACTTCATTTAAATTTTTCAGGTGTTTTCTCAAACATTGATTATGGACTTATTGAATGTGTAGCCAGCTTCATTTTTAGGCCGCTTAACTAATTTTGAGGACATTTTTTGTTTGTATTGAATGCCAGTGTTTTCGAGACCAGGTCAAAATATTATTTGATGAATGATGGTTACATTATATTTTTCCTAAGACTGATATTGTTGAAATTTATTTTCTGTGTTTTTATTCTTTATTATATTGTTAATGAATTGGTTAAGTTCAAAACCTTTTCTTGTCTTCAATGTCTGCACAACATATTAACTCAGGGAGCTTTTATTGCTACTACTGCTAAATGTTTAATTTTATAAACTTTAAACTTTGCTTTAGCATCAGCATGCACTTTGCTTTATTATTAATTATTACTTAATTCATATTGTTATGGATTTCATAGTTATTTATTTAGTTAGTCTTTTTTATTTAGAATTGTAATTAGATTTGCTTCATGTTGCCTTAGCAACGCAGACGATTTTTGAAGACAGCTGCGTTGGAAGGTTAAAAATAGAACAGCGCGTGCATTTAATACCTAATAAATAAATATCTCGTAATTGCTGTTGCCATCCACAAAAATCCAGATATTTATAGATGTTTCCAGTATATTCGAGAAATTAATTATAAAGCTTATAAAAGCCGAGAACAAACAACTCATCTCAGTAGTAGCTGTAGTTCTAGCGAACTGTTTGTTTACTTAATGCTGTGATTGATTTGTAGCGATTTCGCTGTGAGATAGAATTAGTTTCTCTGTTTTGAATTGATTTTTGCTAAACGTTTGACATTTTGTGATATTGTTAGAATATTTTTGAAGAAATATTTCAGCATTTTGATTTATCTCTTGTGGAAAGAATAAATTTTTAACTTTTTAACGTTAACCGTGTTTATTCCAGCCCTTTGTATTCAGTATGTCTATATCAAAACCAAGTGGTAGTAAAATTAAACGAAAAATCGCTGACGAACATAGAATATTCCAAGTAAAATGGGAATTAGAATATTTTTGCTGTGAAATAAAAGATAAAATAATCTGCTTGATATGTAATAATACTATTAATGTACCAAAGTTATATAATATTAAACGTCATTACGAACAACACAAATCGAAATATAACAATTACGAAGGATTAATGAGAGAAGAAAAGTTGAAAGAGCTCAAGTTAGGAGTGAAAAAGCAACAGTCCATGTTTAGTAAAGTATTGCAAGAAAGTGAAGCGGCGGTACATGCAAGCTACGTCTTGTCCGAGTTGATAGCTAAACATTCGAAGCCTTTTACTAACGGTGATTTCATCAAGGAATGCCTAATGAAAGCTGGAGAAATTCTTTGTCCTGGAAATGTGAATTTGTGGAGGCTTTTCAATCAATTTCATTGTCTCGAAATACAGTTGCAGAAAGAGTTACTGATTTAGCCACAAATTTAAGTGATCAGATCAAAGCAAAATCATCTAGTTTCGAAAGTTTCTCCATTGCCTGTGACGAGAGCACGGACATTAGTGGCAAAGCTCAATTAGCAGTGTTTCTTCTTCGTTCTTGTGACAAGAATTTTAACATTTTTGAGGAATTACTGGAACTAATACCGATGCCTGGTACTACCACAGGAGAAGATATATTTACTTTGTGTTTTTGGACTTCTGCAGAAATACAATCTACCTTTGGCAAAATTAAATTCTGTAGCTACAGATGGCGCTCCATCAATGACCGGGAAAAAACAAGGGCTTCGTAGCATTACTAAGGAAAAAAACTTAGTGAAATTCACGGTTCAAACATTCATCATATGCATTGTATTATACATCAAGAAGTTCTATGCACGAAAGTAATAATAATATGGAGAATGTTTTGTCATATATAAAAAAAGTTATAAATTTTATAAGATCTCGAGGTTTAAATCAGCGTCAATTCACTGCTTTCTTAAGTGAGTTAGATAGTGAATATTCGGGTTTGTCCTACTATACCGAGGTACGTTGGTTATCTTGCTCCAAGATTCTCAAACAATTCTGGGATTTGAAAGAAGAAATATGTCAGTTTTTAAAAACGAAAAATCAAGACGTAAGTTTGTTTTACGATCCAATATGGATACAAGATTTATCTTTCTTGGTTGATATAACCAAACACTTAACCGATTTAAATTTATCGTTACAAGGAAAAGATCATATCATTACGAACATGTTTGACATAATTAAAGCATTCAAATGTCAACTAGTTCTTTGGGAAAAACAACTTAAAAATGAAGATTTGACGCACTTCCCGACGTGCAGCATGAACAAATCAAGTTTAGATGATACTTGTTCGTATCAAAAATACGCAGAAAAACTGCAAATTTAACAACTGAATTTGAAACGAGGTTTAATGATTTTAGTTCCCTCGAAGACAATTTTTTTTTTTTTTCCTACGATTTTCTCAATAAGTATTGACTCAGTACCCAGCCATATGCAAATGGAGGTGATCGAGATTCAATGCAACTCAAATTTGAAAGCAAAATTCATTGAAGTGGGCGTGCCTGAATTTTACAAATATTTACCAGCCAGGTTTGAAAATACTCGAAAATTCGCATATGAAATTATTTCCATGTTTGGTAGCACTTATCGGTGCGAGCAGTTATTTTCAGTCATGAAAGGTAATAAGTCTCCTATTAGAAACCGTATTAATGATGCTCACCTTGGGTCAGCGTTGAAAGTTATCACTGCAAACAAAATTTCTCCCGAAATAGGAAAGATAATAGCAGAGAAGAGATGTCAAGTATCA